CGGGTCTCGGGAGGGGCCGGACGCTTCTGCGGGCTGGGGAGCGCGACGAAGCGCGGCCGGCAGTGGGGAGGCGCGGGGAGCGCGGCGCCGGGGAGAAGCACGGGCGCAGTCCGAGGAGCGGGGCGAAGCCGATCTCGGCCGAGAAGTCGCAGTCGCAGCGAGCAGCCCCCGAAGGAACAGAATGGAAAAGCCAGCGGCAGCCACAGGGGCGCGGAGGCGAAACGGGCACTGGCTGGGCCACCCACGTCGCAGGTGGCAGGAGCTTCTTGTTGCCCACGACTGAACAGCACCGCAGCTAGCCCTTGGGGAACAGCCGCACCCTCTGATTTCTCTAGCCACCCAGACTCTGGAGTTGCTTCCAGGTCTTGGCTGCTGAGCCTATCATGCTAAGTGGCCCGGGACACCGCTTATCCTGGAGACTGGCTGCTCTCCCCTGGATGGCCACCCCAGAGAGACCTGCACCTGTTAGTGCCATATACGTTTTGAATGTTTGTTCTATTTCTGTGAAAAACGCCCTTGTAATTTTCGTGGGACTACATGGAAAGGTACGTTGTCTTGTGTCGTATGAATTCTCCCCAAGAGCACAGCGCATGCGCTTGTGGGAACGTAGACTTGGCTGGCGTCTGCAAAACCTATACGGGTTTCTAAAAAATGAAAACCAGATCTGCCCTGGGATTCAGCAGCCCCATGCTAGGTAACACCTGGTGAATATGCACGCCGGTGGTGACCGCAGCTCTATGCACAAAATCAGGGTATGGGGGCAACCTAAGCGCAGACGAGTGGGTGAGAGTCCTGGATGTACACAACGAGTACTCTTAGTTATAAAATGTTGAAATCCTGCCATTTGCAACCACATGGATGAATTCGAAGGGGGTTTTGCTAAATGAGCTAAATCAGAAGACAGGCATTATCTGTGAATTCACTCACGTGTGCAGCATAAAGAAACAAAGCGAAAGAACAGACAACCGAACTAAACCAAACCCTAGAAATCTGACCACGGATCTGAGGTTACCAGAGGCCGGGAAAGTGGGGTGGGGAGGAAGGGAACCTCCTGATGTGCTTGGTGGAGGTTTGAGGGTGCTTGATGGTGGATAGAGTGGGGAAACATTTAAGGAGCTGTGACCCTACATCCCTGGACCAAATACAGTGTCTTAAGCAAACAGTACTCAATAAAAGTAATTTAAAAACAGTAATTCTGTAAGTCCATGGAATATCTTTTCATCTACTGTGGCTATTTCAGTTTCTTTCACTGATGTCTTAGAGTCATCGGTGTACAGTCTTGCCTCCTTGGTTACATTTATTGCTGAGGGGCGGGCCCTCCCTGGTGGCACAGCGGGCTAAACAAAGCACAGCACTAAGAAGCTAAAGCCACTTCAGCAGGAGTTCGATTCCCTCCCCAGAGCTGATCCACATGGCAGGGCAGACCTCTCCTGTCTCCCCACGGCTCCCCTCAGCAGTGGATTTTGTCGATCTGCCTGTTCTGCTCCCCACTCTGTCTCAGGTGAATCCTCTCACTGCCCCTGCACCTCTGGTCTGTACCCTAGCTCTGTATGCATAGATAAATAAGTCTTTTTAAAAAATTTTATTGCTGATGCCTTTATAAATGGATTGTTTTCTTGGTTTCACTTGGTAGTTTGTTATTAGTATATAACAACATAACTGATTTTTATATCCTGCAATTTTACTGTTTATCAGTTCTAGTAGTTTTTAGTGCTGTCTTTAGGGTTTTTTATAAATAGTTTCATGTCATCTGCAAATAGTGTCAATGTTACTTCTTTCTTTCCTCTACATCTGTGAGATAAATGGAAACACTATATGGAACTTCTAGTAAGTATCCTTAAAAGAAAAGAGGCTGTGGTCCTCCCTGGTGGCCCAGCGGGTTAAAGCACTGCACTGGGAAACTTAAGCCACTTCCGCATAAGTTCAATTCCAGCCTGCGGGGGAGGAGATCCACGGGGGAGGAGATCCACGGGGGAGGAGATCCACGGGGGAGGAGATCCACATGACGTGTCAGACCTCTCCTGACCCACCCGCTGCTCCCCTCAGCAGTGTGCTGT